CTGCCCCCTTCCTTGCTCCCTCCCCCCTCTATTCCTCTCTTCCCCCTCCCTTTCCCTCCCCCCCTCTCTTTCCCTTTCCCTTCCCCCTCCCTCCCCCCTCTCTGTAACATAGAATTTAGTATAATTAATTAATTTAATTAATAAATATACTTCAATTTTATTTTTTGTTTTGAAGTCTAAGTTCAGGAATTCTGGATTAACTTAGGTCTGTGGCAGTCCAGTCCAGTCCAGTTTTGTGTTGGGAGAGTCCAGTGGAGTCCAGTTTTGTAATTTGCAGTCCAGTCCAGTCCAGTCCAGTCCAGTCCAGATTTGTGCTTGCAGTCCAGTGGAATCCAGTGGAGTCCAGTTTTGTGCTGGGAGTCCAGTTTTGTGGATATTGCCAGTATGTAGTGAAGTCCAGTGGAATCCAGTGGAATCCAGTGGAGTCCATGTGGATTATGTGGGGGATGGTAAAGTACTGTATTGGCCCTCAGGGATAAGGTGAATTTGAAGTTCCCTGTAGGTTAACGTGATGCTAGCGGTTTGAATACTCTCTACAAACCTGCCCAAGTTCAAAATCTATAAAGGCTCAGCCAAATGCAATCATCTACCAGTACCAGTGTTGGCCCCATTCCAAGTAGGCAATCATTATGGATCCTCCAGCCAATGTCGAAGAGCTACCCTTCATAATTCAGCTATTCTTCTCCCTCCGCGGCAGTGCAACGAGACCAGGCGCGCTAATGGAATGTGATGCAAGCCAATCCAAGCTACAAGTATGGAGGTGGTACGTGGGCTCGACTCCAAGCTTTCTTTGAATGCCCTCTCAGATATTCGTACCAGGCCGGTGAACCGCCGCAGGGAGCGGATCACACCCTCTGATCTTAATGGCCATCGTGCCACTCACCACTTCCAGTTCCCTGGGTGCTTTTGTCCTCTCCAGAGTGGCGGTGGCAGTTTAGGTTTGAACAAAGAAACTGCAATCTACATGCCAACTGGTGGCCCATACAAGAATCAGTGGGTCGCCGCCTGCGCTACCCAAGAATGCCTTTACCGTGGTACGTGGAGTGAAACTGCTTTGATATCTTACCTGAACTGCAACCTTGCCGATTCAAGTCCCTTTGGCAATTTTTTACAGGTTGGACAGGTTGGCCATCAATCATTACTCTCCCAGAAGTAAGTTTTGCAATACACAGATTTCTACCCTTCCAATCCCCAACCCTTACTACTATTTTATCATAGTTGTTGGTGACCATGGTCCCCTCCCCATCTTTCATATCTCTGAGATGTGGGGACCTGTGCTATCTTTGCGCGATATGAGCCCTGTGGCTCCAACTGAAATCGACTTGTCAGACAACGGGAGTTCCGAGTCCGAGTCTCATGAATCGGACTTGGACTCGGCGATGCACACACAGGATTTTGAGTGGCCAGTTCCTCCAAGTCCTAAGAACAGCATTCATATCCGCCGGCCACTTGGTAACACCCATGTCTTTTGATAGGATGATCGCTTGCTGAGGGATTTCAGCAGCTCTTCGTGCAGCCAATATTGTAGTCTGGAACCAACCTAGAAGTGAACCGCTTACTTTCTTTGCAATGATCCGTGCAATCGATTCAGCCATTCGACCTGGTGTTCCCGTCAAAGACTTTCTCTCTTTAGCTTCCCTTTGCGAGTGTGGTCTTCTCACC